CATGTCTTGGATTTTAACACAAGAGAGGCTGATACCGTAACGACACTGGCTTGTGTGTTAATGTAGAAACAAGACTGATCCTGGCCATCACTGAACCCTCAAATTGAGGCCAGCAATCCACTACCTGGCATGCAAAGTGTGTAGCCAACCTGTGCTTGGACCAGACTGGCAAATCTCTCTGGCCTTGGGGCATAGATTGGCAGCAGGGGCTTTTTTCCACTATCATGATTTCAAGTCAGATGAGTGAGAGTATGGCAAGTCCAGGCAATGAGCCCCCTTAGAATGAGTGCCTGAGTCAGAATAGGAGGTCCCAGTCTGTCATACAAACTCACTAAAAAAATTCTTAATTTCCATAGACAGAACTGGTGTCTAGAATGACTAATCCATGCTAAAGTATAGTTTAGTGGGGAAGAACACAAAGGGAATATGTTCCTATCACCACCCTCATGAGCTATTCTAATACATGTCCCTCAATGCCTAGCATGTGACATCTGTCCCACAAGGAAAATAATACAACTGTTTTAGTCAGGGTAAGTAATGTCAGCTGCTATAATGAATAGTGACTTCCCACAACACCTGTTCATTTCTCATTCTCATTTGACTATAAGTGAAGTTGGCCAATGACAGTAGAAGAGTAGTTATCTGGGAACCAAGGTTCTTTCAGTCTGGTGGCTCTGTCATCCATCATAGACCTTTCCTGGATTCTCAACACCTGGCTAAGAAGTTAGTAAAGAGAGAATTTCAAGAATCGTGCAGTACGTCTTGGGAGCCAGGCTACCTGCTTCAGGCCAACTCCATTCCCTGGCCCCACTTAACTGCAGGGGATGGGAAATGTTGTTTAATTTTACACCCAGGAGGGCTTACTAAGCACATGCCAGTGTTTCTGCCAGAATATCATTTCAATATCTAAGGAAACTGTGATGGAACTTGAAATAGGATAGTTTTTAAAATCAGCTGTGTAAATTGTGAAATGGATTCTCTTTATATTGTGACAGGGCAAGATTTACATTTTTGACAAGAAAGTAAAAATAATCAAAACTCATGAATTTCAGAGATGTACTCTTACCATGTCAGTTTATCCCCATTGTCCCTTTATCCTCTCCCTGCAGCTTGTACTGCTACCCTGAGATGTTGAGGTCAGCTCAGGGACAGTGAGTAACTGAGTTGCCAGCAGAGAGGGGCCTGGGAAAAATGATAATGACTGTTTCCAAGTTCCAGACACTATGCTAACTCATAGCATTTGTTATGGAAAAGATACAACTGAGCCATCACCAGAGCCCAGAGTCTTGAATTATTTTCTACCCACTTCCTGTCAAAAGCCTAACTGAAATGGTTGATTCCTTCTAATCATTTATCCTTCTACATTAGTGCTTCCCAATTTGGTTCTACACAAGAATCATCTGGGATGCTTTTGTAGACAGACTCTAAGGAGACCCCCAATGAGGTCTCCTTAGAGACCTCACTTATTATAAGTGACATAAGGTTGAATCCCTAACCTTAAATGTGTAGTGGGACCTGTGACTTCTAATCAATACAATATGGCAAAGGTAATATGATGCCACATCCACAATTACATTACTAAGATTGTAATCCTTGTCTTGCTAGCAGACTCTCTCTCTTGCTGGGTTTTGTAAGGTAAGCTGTCATGTTGGAGAGGCCTATCTGAAAAGGAAATGAGGTCAGCCTCCAACCAATAGCAACCCAAAACACTGGGACCTCAAACAACTCTTCAATAACTGAGTTTTGCCAAAAACCTGTATGAGCTTGGAAGTGGATTCTACCCCAGTCAAACCTTCACATTAGATCCCAATCCCAGCTGTAAAATCAACTACAGTGTTATAAGACCATGAAACAGAGGTACCAGTTAAGACATGCCCAGATTTCTAACCCACAGAAACTGAAATAATAAATACATGTTGTTTTCAGCTGGTAAATGTGTGGTGATTTGTTTGCAGCAATAACTAATATAGATGCTTGTTTAAAAATACAAATTTCAGGCCCTGCCCACACAATCTCTTTAACAGAACAGGAGAAGGACTTGGAAATCTGAAATGTTCACCATCACCTCAGATGATTCTGATGTACCTGGTTTAGAAATCATCACTCCAAATTCTCTCATCCTTATTCTTACATTTAGTCAGGCACACCAGAAAGTTATATAACTTAGCTGTATTATTTTTACACCCAACACAAGTGACCTAAAAGTTATACATTTCAATGATTCTTCCCTTGGGGCCATTATTTTTCTTAAAGGCTTGTATTCATTTTCTATTGCTGCTGTAACAAACTACTACAAATTTAGTGCCTTGAAAAAACAGAAATTTATTATCTTACCTTCAAACCTTCTGATATCTTATTATCAGAAGTCTGAAAATGGTCTCATTGGGCTAAAATCAAGGTTTCAGAAGGGCTGGTTCTTTCTGGAGACTCTAGGAGAGAATCTTTCTTCCCTTTTCCAGCTTTTAAAGGTTGCGTGCATTCCTTGGCTTGTGACCCCATCCCAACAGTGGAATCACTGAGACTTCTGCTTCCATCATCACATCTCCTTCTCCATGAATATCCTACCTATTTCTTTCCCATATAAGAACCTTTGTGATTACATTGAGTCCTCCAGGATAATGTAAAAGAATTTTCCCATCTTAAGATCCTTAACTTCATAATGTCTGCAAAGACCCCCCCTTTTTTTTTGTATAAGGTGACGTTTACAGATCTGGGGATTACAACATGAACATCTTTAGAGAACCATTATTCTGCCTACCATAAAATCCATTGAATAAAATATCTGTGTCTTGGTGCCTATAAAATTCCTGTGTCTTTCTTTATATCACAGAAACATGTAATTTGTCTTGTTCTGTTTTTTTTCTGCCTTGGCTACCAGAGAGGGCATTGGAGCTAATAGATGTGTTCAGTTATAAAAACTCTGCTGACTTGATTTCTTATCCAATTGCTTCCCTTGGTTTATTATTTTGTTCTTACTTTTTATCCTTATTTTAATGATTCTGTTCTGTCTGTGTCACTTATTATAAGTGACATAACTTGATTTGAAACATAACTACAATATACAAATCCCTATGTTTAGACTTAACCTTAGGTCCCCTGATTTCTAATGTCTTACCCTCCAAAGCCACAAGCCAGTGAAACATTTTCTCTCTTGATACCTGGGCTTTGTGTCTCCTATATTTTGACCTCTCCTTTGTCCTTCCCAGGGCCACCCATGGCTCTCCAAGCCACTCACCAATCTAGTTGTCATTTTCCCTCAAGGGACTGTGGGTGAGTAGTTAGTTTACCCTCTACTCATTTGGTAGATTCCGCTAAGGCCTTTTATGCTGTGATGGATGAACTAGTCCCTGAACTCTTGGTCAGCCTGCCCATGGAAGAAAGTACTGAACTGGTTTCAAATATACTGGGCTCATTAAAGTACTTGAACAAATTGCCCTAGTAACTCTCATAATAGCCACACACCTCAGGGAGACAAATAATATTATCCATATGTTAGAAGAGGAAATATTGAGTCAAAGAAGGCAAAGAGAGCCATAGATTCTACTTCTTTGGGAAACTTATCTTGGTTTCAGGGTTTTAGATGACTTAGATGGATGAATCCCAATCCTGGTTTTCAATTTCATCAGTACACCTCAATTATTGTTAGAAGTAGTTTGACAAAATAATTTTCTTAGCCTAATTAAAATATTGATTTCAGATACCATATTTTGGAATGATCAGAGGAGCAGAGAATGTAGTGCAAACTTTAAAAGCACGGTGATTAAAGTGTCTGCCAGAATGTTTTGAAGTTAAGCATATATGTTCAACTTAACAAATGTTTATAAAATAAATACCAATTTAGCCACTCTCTCCTTCTGCCCAAATTCTGTCCATGCCTCAAAGACCAGATTCAATATCCTTCAAAGACTTGCATAAGCCTCTTATTTGTAATATTTTTCTCATCAATGTATAAGACCATCTTAGAATCTCCTTATGTCACATGGCATCTGTATTATATTGATGTTTGTGTGCATGTGCGCATGCACACACATGTTGTATGCAGAGTTAATTCCTGAATTATCCTTTGATCTTCCACAAGACTCACTGTCACTATTTAACTATAATTTGAGTATGGTTCATCAGGAGAGCAATGAGTGAATGAATGAGAGAATGAGTGAATGAGCCACAAAGGTCACTTACACCAGGGGTCAAGTTAATGGAGATCACCCAACCCAGAATAAAATAGTCAAGTCATCCATGTTTGAAAGTCAGATGAGGGTCAGGAAGCTAAGTCAGACAGGGCTGCTCTGGACTTTAGGCTGAAGCTGATCTTTACTCTGTTAGCCTCCTTGCTAACAGGTGGCCTGTTTAGGTTGCCTGAGAGCCCCTAAACAGTGGTCAGTCTTAAAAGTGAATCAGGCATTTTCTTCCTTCTGTTTAAGGAGAGATAGGGTGGAAGAATTACCTTGAAGGAGTAGGATTACTCTGCTGCCACTTTAGCAGTATTTATATCATTTTACTCTTTTCAGCAGGCTTTCACATATACTTTCTTGATTCAAAAACATGGGGAAAACTAATTTTGCTACTGCATTTAAAGCTGTTGGTCATGGAAGCCAGTCTCCAGAAACACTAAGCAGATGACTGAACATTTATAAAAAGATACTTGTTCTTATTGATTTCATTTCAAACTGAGAAACTTAAGAGGTAGAAATTAGTATCCCTCCCTTTATACAGATGGTGGAATCAAAGAGGCTCCAAGTGTTTTAATGGCATACTCATGGTCATCTGTCTACTTCCTAGTTGAATGTCTGCTCTGCTCAGCTGTGGTACAGAGAAGTCTGATATATAATGAGAAAGCAGACTCAGGGATTTCGATTCAAAGCAAGTGATTCAAGCTATTCTAATTATGGACTCGTTGATGATTAAAATTGAGTATGAAGTGACACCAATTATATACTGTGATTTCATTTAGATGATAATATTTGACTACTTATTTTTAAATGTTTTGTGATTTCTTTTAGATGGTAAATTTGAGTACTCACTGTATGCAAGCCACTGGGCTCATAGGACAGGGCACCCCACAGAGTCATCTTTTCCCATCTTCTAGATGGGAAAAAATACACAGGACTTCCGCCAAGATGGAGGCATGGGTAGATGTGCCGTGCCTTCTCACACAACCAAGTTTGGAGACAATTAAATATTAGCAACAGAAAACACAGCCAGAACACAGAAAATTGAACTTTTTGGAAGTCCGTTAACAACGAATTCTTCAGCCTGACCAGTAAGGGGCGAAACCAGCGGCTGGTGAAGCGGGGTTGCACAGGAGGACTCGGTCAGATGGACTCAGGCATGCAGAATCCAGGTGCAGGGTTGGACCTAGTGAGCGACCGAGCGAGCGACCAGGCGAGCGACCGCGGGGGAGACAGCGGAGGAGCGGTGCTGCGTGTTGACTGTGGTAGTGCATTTGTGCGCAGGTGGACTGGGCCCAGCGGGTCCCGTGGAAAGCGGCAGTGGAGGGCACCGCCATTTCCCTGCTCTGACCCCACCTCCACATACAGCGTCTACACCCAGCGACTCTGAGTGGCCCGGCCCAGGGGAACCACCTAAGGCGCTACTCCTCACCCAGCTGTGAGAAACAGCAGAGGGGGTCGCCATTTCCCCCGCTCTGACCACGCCCCCACATACAGCGTCACAACCCAGAGACCTGGGAGTCCAAGGCACCGCTTCTCACACTTAAAGGGCACGAACAGACCAAAAATGGTGCAAGAAGATCTCAAAGCCCCACAGCCTATAGATCTAAGCAATGAAGAAATAGCAAAACTCTCAGACGCACAGTTTAAAACACTGGTGATCAGGATCCTCACAGAACTGGTTGATTATAGCCACAGATTAGACAAATATATGAAGGCTAAACTAATTGAAATGAATGGAATTGCACAGGAAACCAATAGCAATGAAAAGGAAACTGGGACTCAAATCAATGGAGTGGACCAGAAGAAAGCAAATAATGGCCAAACAGAAAAGAGTCAAGAAGCAAGAATTCAAAGAAATGAGGAGAGTCTTAGGAACCTCCAGGACATCTTTAAACACTCCAACATCCGAATTATAGGGGTACCAGAAGGGGGAAAGGCACAGCCACCAGTGGAAAACTTATTTGAACAAATAATAAAGGAGAATTTCCCCAATCTGGCAAAGGAAATAGACTTCCAGGAAATCCAGGAAGCTCAGAGAGTCCCAAAAAAGTTGGACCCAACAAGGAGCACACCAAGGCACATCATCATTACATTAGCCAAAATTAAAATGAAGGAGAGAATCCTAGAAGCAGCAAGAGCTAAGGGGACAGTCACCTACAAAGGAGTCCCCATCAGACTGTCAGCAGATTTCTTAAAAGAGACCTTACAGGTAAGAAGGTGCTGGAAAGAGGTATTCCAAGTCATGAAATCCAAAGACCTACAACCAAGATTGCTCTATCCAGCAAAACTTTCATTTAGAATGGAAGGACAGATAAGGTGCTTCTCAGATAAGATCAAATTCAAGGAGTTCATCATCACCAAGCCCTTATTATATGAAATGTTAAAGGGACTTATCTAAGAAAAAGAAGTTAAAGAAACATGAACAGTGAAAGGACAGCAAACTCACAGTTATTAACAACCACACCTAAAATGAAAGCAAACTAAAAGGACAGCTAGATCAGGAGTGGAAACATAGAAATGAAGATCTCAAGGAGGGTTAGCAACAGGGGAGTGGGAGGAGGAGAAGGGGGGAGAAGGTATAGAAAATAAGTAGCATAGACAGTAGATAGAAAATAGAAGGGGGCAAGAATAGCATGGGAAATATAGAATCTAAAGGACTTGAGACACATGGTCATAAACTAAAGGGGGGGTAATGGTGGGGATGGGGGGTAGGGTGGAGGGGAATGAAAGGGGGAATAGAACAACTGTAACAACATAATCAATAAAAAAATTTTTTAAAATAAATAAATAATTTAATAAAAAAGAAAAACACAACCCTGTTTGATTTCAGAAATCAAAGCTCTCTGGTCCTTTTTTTTTTTTTTTAATTTCTTTGGTATGAATCAGGTGAGGCTCTGGCTCTTAATGTTTTAAGAAAAGCTGCTTAAATTTTAAAAAATCCATTTCCTCCTTCCAAAAAAAGCCTAATTTTTAAATAGCAAATGAGCTTTGGTTTTCAGATAATTATGATCTTTTGTAAATGTATTAACTTGATTCAGCAGATCAATTGACATATGTGTTCTAGGCAGTATCTGAAAGCAGTGTGCATAGAAAATGTTTGTTGCCACCTGGTATACAGGATAAAAGTAATAGGTAGGAGGCATAGGGGAGGGAAACATGGCAGATCAGAAAATATTCTCTTGTATTTATTATACAGTATTACAGTTTATTTTTATAATAGATATATTAGGTGGGCGAAATGTTCATTCTGTTTTTAAGTGAAAGTAAAAGACATTTTTCATTTTTACCAATAACTTTATTGAATCGCATATTCACTCTTTTGTTCCACTGCCTTCTGCCATCTTTCAGGCAACTTCAAGATTCCATCTTCCCAAAACCTTTTATCTTTTTTATATTTTAAAGTATATTTTATTGATTATACTATTACAGTTTTGCAAATTTTTCCCACTTTATTCCCCCTCCACCCTGCACCCCCAACACTTCAGCATCCTCCCTCAGTTCATGTCCATGGATTATATATATAAGTTTTCTACATATAAGACATATAAAACTTGTACATATAAGACTTCTCTGTTTTCTATACCATTCTTTGCCTCTTGCCATCTATTTTATGCCTACCCATTAAGATTCTTATTCCCTGTACCTTCCCCCCCATTCTTCCGCTCCCCATCCCCACTGAAAATTCTCCATGTGATGTCCATTTCTCTGATTCTGTTCCTGTTCTAGTTGTTTGCTTAATTGGGGGGGGGGTAGGTTCAGTTGTTGATAGTTGTTGAAAGCTTTTTATCTTTTTTGAGCAAAGAACTGTTGTGATGCCTTTTGCAGTCTTCTACAGAATTGACATTTTTTTCCATTAACAGAATTTTAAAAAGACCAAAATAAATGGAAATTCAAAGGTGCAATGTTTGATGAATACAGCAGATGAATCAGAACTTCCCAGCCAGGCTGTAACAGTTTTTGCCTGGTCATCAAAGAAACATGCAGTCTTGTGTTATCCTGATGGAAAATTATGCATCTTCTGTTGACTAATTCTGGATGCTTTTTATTGGGTGCTGGTTTCAGTTGGTCTAATTGGGAGCAGTATTTGTTGGAATTAATCATCTAGTTTTCTGGAAGAAGCTCATAATAGAGGACTTCCTTCCAATCCCACCAAATACACAACATCACCTTCACTGGATGAAGATCAGCCTTTGGTGTGGTCAGTGGTGGTTTATTTCACTTGCCCCACGATTTCTTTCATTGCACATTATTTTTTTGTTTTGTTTTGTTTTGGGGGGTTTTTTTGATGTTTCTTTTTTTAAATTTTTTATTTAATTATTTTTCAAGTACATTTTTTTGTCTATTTCTCCCATCCCAGCCCTCCCTGCCCCGTCTCCCCACCTCCCTCCCATTCCCCTCCCCCAGTCCTCATCCCTGTGTCTTTCATACTTGTTCCTCAAAATCCCTCCCCATTTTTCCCCTTAAATTCCCTTCCCTCTCCCCTCTGGTCACTGCCCACTTGTTCTCTATTTCAGTGTCTTTGTTTTTATTCTGTTTGCTTGTTTGTTTTGTTGTTTAGCTTCCTGTCAAAGGTGAGATCATATGGTATTTGTCCTTCAATGCCTGGCCTATTTCACTCAGCATAATGCTTTCCAGTTCCATCCATGTTGTTGCAAAGGGTAGGAGTGCCTTCTTTCTCTCTGCTACATAGAATTCCATTGTGTATATGTACCACAATTTTTTGATCCATTCATTTACTGATGGGCACCTAGGTTGCTTCCAACTCTTGGCTATTGTAAATTGTGCTGCTATGAACCTTGTGGTGCATAGGTTCTTTGAAATTGATGTTTTAGGATTCTTGGGATATAATCCTAGCAGTGGAATTGCTGGGTCAAAAGGCAGGTCGATTTTTATTTTTCTGAGAAAATTCCATACTGTTTTCCATAAAGGTTGTACCAGTCTGCAATCCCACCAACAGTGAACTAAAGTCCCCTTTTCCCCACAACCTCTCCAACATTTGTTGTTTGTTGTTTTGTTTATTATAGCCATCCTGACTGGTGTGAAGTGGTATCTCATTGTGGTTTTAATTTGCATCTCTCTGATAGCTAACAATATTGAGCATCTCTTCATGTGTCTCTGGATATTCTGTATGTCCTCTTTGGAGAAGCATTGCACATTATTATAAAGTATCCACTTTTCATTGTCTGTCACAATTCGTTTTTAAAACAAAACATTTTTGTTTCATTTAAGTAGAGAATCAAATGCGGATATGTGGTCAAGAAGGTTTTTTTTTTGCTTAACTTATGTGGAAGCCAAACATCAAGGCAACTGACATAACCAAGCTGATGCAAATGATTTTCAATGCTTGATCTGGATATTTTGAATATGTTGGCTATCTCCCATGTAGTATAACATAGATTGTTCTCAGTTAATGTCTCGATTTGATTGCTATCAACTTCAACTGGTCTATCAGACCATGTAGCATTATCCAGTGAGAAATCCCCAGCAGGAAACTTCACAAACTACTTTTGACATATGATATCAGTCACAGCATCTTCTCCATACACTGCACAAATCTTTTTGGTTTTTTAGGTTTTTTTTTGCATTTCAGTTATATGTTTATCTTTATTGAAATAACAAACCATAATATGCTGAAAATGTTGTTTATTTTCTTCCATCTGCAATATTAAAATGGCTATACAGAAATCTACCAATTTTGATAAGTTTTTTAAATGTGTGCTGATATTAGAGCTGTCACAATACAATCTAACAAAATTGTTTCAAATAAAGAAGACAACTAAGTGCTAGTAGAGCTATCTACAGAAAAAAACTGAACGAACCTTTTGGCCAACCCAATTTTATGACTATTAACATATGCAATAAATTAACTAGTCTTTCCTACCTCCTCAGTTGATCATGCCAGGTTGAAAAAACTTGGATGTTTTGCTATAAAATCCTTTCTTTCATTTATTTCTTCTATAGGAGTATAGGTACATAGAGAAAGAGATCAAGATAATCAATAGTTTTTACCTGGGGGATATTCTGCATCCCTCCCAAGAACACCTGGCAATATCTGGACACACATTTGGTTATTAAAGCTGAGGGAGAGTGTGCTACACTCAAATAGTTGGTAGCCAGGAGTGGTGCTCCACAGTACACAGGATAGCCCCCTCTCTCCACACACACACACACACACACACACACACACACACACACAACAAAGAGTTATCCAATCCAAAATGTCAGTGGTGCTGAGCTTGAGAAGCTTTGAAATAGACAGACAGACAGATGATAGATACATGTAGAGGACTAAAGCTAGATATATAATAAGTACCAGACACTGTGTTCAGCAGAGAATGACCATCTACTTAATATAAAGTCATTATGTCTCTTTACATCTCAAAATCCCAGCCTTGTTTCCAACCTATGTACAAACCTAATTCTTTATTGGGAAAAGTGAAGTTTGGCCTTTCCCAGGACTTCCTGCATTTCTAATCAGCATTTTTTAAGGAGTAAAACCACCAAAACATGCATTGCTAGATGAAGTTAATTTTCTGTGTAGATACATAGTTCCTAGCACTGATAACAAAGTCAGCAGACTTAATCAGACTCAGATTCGGTATGCTGTTTCAGTGGAAAAGGAAAACAAATATAAAAGGGCACTTTAGAACTTTGGCTCTTGTTAAAGAGTTTATGTAATTTGCTACATTGA